CTTGGTGACTTTAGGAGGAGGTGGAGGAGCCTTGAAGACTCCATCATCCTTCTGAGAGACTGCGGGCTCCTTACTGGTGCCTACAGCAGACACCGAAGCCTGGAGAGAGGGAGAACATTGAAGTGAAGTCACTGAATTTTTCTTCTTTGCACACACATCTGAAGTCAGCTTTGTGTTCTTACAGGAGCTGTGTGTGAGCGGGAGAAGAAAGGAGGAGGAGGCTCCTCTTCGCTCTCCACGGTCCAGTGCCTGGCGTTGTACACAGCTTTGGTGGGAGACTGAAACAAGGACACACAAGACATGAACACACCTGAAAGTGGAAACTCTTGAGTCCATTTGAAGAAACTTGTGATAAAAATGTTTGTAGACAAACTTCACACAGAATCTATATTTATCTTGTTGTTTGAAGCTGTAGGCTAAAACCGCTAGCCCAGATAAAGAAAAGGTAGCACATGTGCTCATTAATTCATCTGTTCAGATTTCATGCTGATGTAACAAAGACACATGCACCATTTCAGTAGCAGGTTAAAACAGCGACATCTCTCCTTTCTGCTTCTCTTCATTCACTCTCTTTGTCTGAACATCCATGAAAACGAGAAAACTCCAAACAAAAACTAATTCATGTTGTAATTTCCCTCTGGGATTAATAAAGTATCTTTGATTTGATTTGTTGAATTTTTTTCTTTAAAAAGTTAAAGTGACAGCATTTCAGTTTAACTTTATTACATGGTGGGGTTAACAATAATCTAACAATTTAGACCAGGGGTGTCAAACATGCGGCCCGCGGGCCGGATCTGGCCCGCAAGCGGGTGAAATCCGTCCCGCGAGATGGTTGTGTAAACTTTATTTTCATACTTTACAATGTAGAGTGAAAATAAGCTTATCTTTGTGAGCAAGTTTCCTCTGTAATGAGTATAAATAAAACAAAGCTGCGCTCAAGGCTCACACAAGAACTTGAATCACATCCTGAAGTTGGCCGCCACTCAGGATGAGACTTCTGATGTTGATGTGCCGGTGAAAGCTAAAAGATGTAAAGTAAATATACTTTAAGTGCTGCATGAAACTGATCTAGCCATGTGATCTGTAAGCTCTTTGAATCACTAAGGAATGTATTTTTAATTTATTGATTTTTTTTTTTTTTTTTCAAATTTTCAAGTACACTTCAGGTGTTGTACTTGTACTATTTTGGATACACTGTCCTCAGGCTCCAGCTTTGTTTTATATTGATTGTATTAAAACAAAGAAAACAATCTGAAGTTGTTTTTAATTTACCGGTCCGGCCCACTTGGGACTAGATTTCCCTCAATGTGGCCCCTGAGCTAAAATGAGTTTGACACCCCTGGCTTAGACTGTAGAGCTGAACTTTGTGTCTCTTGATTTTTGCTGCATCTGAATCTCAATTCTCTTCACCGATCCTTTAATGAAAAGCCATTTTTTACAATTTCACTAGAATTTTCTCAAATTTAGATACTTTTTCCATCAGATTCTGAGGACAAGAGTAAAAGGTTAAAGACTTGGCAGGAGTTATGGAAAGCTAAGCACAAACACAGAGCAGCACATGAAACAGGATAAAAGCTAGTGAGAGTCGTCCCGCTCTGATCAGACAGCAGGAAACACACACACACCCTCGTCGTTGGCTTGTTTCCTGCCCCCCTTTACCAAACCTGTGGTTGGCGGTTGCCAGGGCGTCCGTAATGAAAAACAAAAGATGGACAGAGTAAAGAAAAGAGGGGAGACGAAGTTGGCAGGCCCAGGCTTCACCACAGGGTTAATAATGAGAAACAAAAGAGGAGTTTGTGGATGAACTCTGCAGAGCTGGAACATCAACACAGCAAATTAAAGTCTGCAACAGTCATCTGAAAGACACAGACAGACACTCACCCCCCACTTGCTGTCGAGCAGCATGGCAGGGAGAAAAGAGGCAGGCAGGATGCTGGGCAAGCCCAGAAAAAGTCCTCACGCTGCTGGGCTCAAGAGCAAAATCACTTCCCTGCCAGTGGACCAGCATGGCAACGGCTCAGAAATGGAACCCAAGCACATCTTTTATAAATTAGGCTCCTGTTCCAGAAGGAGGACTCGAGGCACCACTCATAAAAAGAAACCAGTAGGAAAACAAAAATAATGTTGATTTATTAAGATTTTTAAAAGTCTGCCCTCAATTTACTGGAGAGTCCTGAATATAAATAAGTGGATTTTGACTTCTTAAAATAACCCAGATCTGATACTTCTCTGTGATTTAACTTAAATAAGCTAACAGCATGGTTCAGTTTTCTATAATTAGGCTCTAGATGATTGCTGCTCACTACCAAGGGCTATTGCTTTTATAATGAGCTCAACTCAGAGCTCATTTATGCTGATGGGATATGGTGCGAGAGCTGGGGAGGAAGGTAAGGTTAGTAAGGAGATTGTTTTCATTTAAACCTGCCAGCAGAACAAAGTGGTCCAGAGACAGGAGCAGCCAGCAAGCAAAAGTAGAGGTAGCTTTAGATTTGGAGCAAAACACAGAGAATGAGGCTTTGTTGTGTCTGCTACACCTACTGCAGAAGGCATTCAACACAACCGCCCAGCGACCCTGAACAGGTCCACACACAAACGCATACAGAGAGCACACAGAGACAACAATGTGATACAAAACACACTGAGCAGATGAAATAATTTAAAAAATAACATGAGTTATAAAGGGCAGGGTGATCCATTTCTCTCAGAAACAATTATTTCATTTTCATTCTACGTCTGTCAAAGGACTACTTTCTCATTGGCCTAGTGGTAGAGTGTCCGCCCTGGGACTGGGAGATCAGAACTCAAATCCTGGTCGGGTCGTACCAAAGACTTTAAAAATGGGGCCTGATGCCTCCCTGCTTGATGCTCAGCTTTAAGGAGTTGAACCGGGGGTTAAACCACCAAATAATTCCCGAACGTAGCCACAGCTGCACCTCACCGCTCCCCATGGGGATGGGTCAAATGCGGAGACTGAGATGATGACTAACAGGACTCTATATCTGAATAAGAGAGCGCATGAGGACAAACCTGGACAATAGGAATGTCAGAAAATATCGATATAGCAATATATCGCAATATTTTTTCCTGCGATATTATATCGATGTTCAAAAGCTGTGTATCGATTTTTTTGGAAGAATTTACGTGCAAACATTTGTGTATTTTCTTTTCTTTTGGTGCAAATCAAATGCCGTCCGCTAGTCAGCAGTAGGGTGCAATGGAGTTTGTTTCCACCACTGAAATGTAAATCCCTCTGTTATGGTTCAGATACCTCATGTTAATCGTGTTAAGTATCAGTTTGGACCATTTATTGAATTTTCCTATAATAATTTTAGTCTAAAAAAATCGCTATAATTGTCCGACTGAATGCATCGCAATATATCGTGATATATCGTATCGTCTACCCTGTATCGTGATAAGTATCGTATCGCCAGAATTTCACCAATACACATCCCTACTGGACAACCACAGAAACCGGTGAGTTTGTATTGAAGTCCTTCTGGACAAAGACTTAGCCATCTGTCCAGGTCACGCTGCTGGTTAACGGAAACTAACTACAGGTTAAAAAGAGAAAATCAAACCCAACATCTCACAGCAGGACACCGCCTCCTCCAGATGTTTACAGGTATTTTCCATTGATAACTCAGAAAGCACAAGCTCAAGACTCACACCTCTGCTGAAGCCTGCTGATGCCATTGATTCAGCTGCGATAAAAAGGCTTCTTATGAGATCAATAAGTCTGATCTCTGGTCAGCTCGGCCCGTGTACCACAGAGAGAAAAGCCATTAGCTCACGGATAAAGAAAAGACGAGTAGCTCATAGATCTGAAGAAAAAAAAGTCTGATCTTTCCCCTCATCAATACAGTGAAGCTCCTCAGCTCTGCCAACACACACACACAAACACACACACACACACACACACACACACAGAGCGGGTGTAGGAGGACAGTTTCGTCCCCACAGGAGCATCTAGATCTCCTCAGATGTAACAAATCAAGCATGGGTTTTACAGTTCTTGCTCCAATTAAATAGAAAAAACAATCACAAGAAATGTTCCTGACTCATCTCACCACAGAGACGGTCTGAAGTCAAGTGCAGCTCAGTTTCAGACATTAACATTATTAAGTGACAAAAAAATGAAGGTTTTGCTACAAACCAAACCGAAAAAATAAAGCAGGAAATATAATAAAACATAAATAGTAAAATAAATAATGAAATGAGAAGGCACGAGAAACTATTTAAAGATATGGTTCACTTGTTCAACTCAAACTAGAAGTGAGCCACATCAGAGTTGTGCAGAACACGACAGGATTTGGAGTCTCATTTCCTGATATTTGGACATCTCTCCTCTGATTGGATAACAGCAACACAACTCTAACACTGACTTGCAACATTGATGTTTTATCTCCACAAATAACACAAGCCTGGAGGAGTTCTGCTGTGTGGTGGAGTTGCTAATACCAACTAGCTTCTACTAGCCAAGACGTTCTCTGCTGTTCTGGATGCTAAACCAATAACAGCCTTCCTTGTCGCGAGCCAAGATGGGGGAGTCCATGAATGTTAAGTGACTGTGAGGTAGATCTGTAAGAATTTTCAAATCCTAGCATTTAACCGTCTATTTTCAGTAGCTAATGCAGGAGATATGTGTAGGAGACTATTTTCATGGCCAGCCTGCATGGAAAACTCAGACTTATAATCAGAAATAAGAGTTTAAAAATGTTTTTTTTTCAGTGTACCATAGGGATGTAATAAAATATTGATATAGCAGTATATCGTGATATTTTTTCCCCAGCAGTATTATATCAATATTCAAAAGCCAAGTATCTAATTTTTGGAAGGATTTACATGCAAACATTTATGTACATATTTTCTTGTCTTTAGTTACAATTCAAATACCGACCTCTAGTTGGCAGCAGTGTGCAAAGGGTTTTGTTTTACATTTAAATGTAAATCCCTCTCGTGGTTCAGATACCTCACGTTAAACATGTTAAATATCAGTTTGGACTGTTTAATTGTCCTATAATAAATTCAGTGTAAAAATAGCTAATATCATCTGACTGAATGTATCAATATATTGTAATCAGAAGTGGAAAGAGTACTAAAATTTCCTACTCAAGTACGAATACCAATACTTTGATTATTTTTTACTCAAGTACAAGTAAAAGTACTTGCCTAAATTTTTACTCAAGTAAAAGTAAAAAGTATCGTAAATAAAATGTACTCAAAGTAAAAGTTACCTAGTTACATTTTTGACAGTGTAAGGATGGCTACATCTAAGTGGTGCAAAATCAAAACGCCAGTTTATAATTCATACACACTGATTGGACGAAGTTTTTCTAGGATGGCAGGTTTCAACTGTGACAAAAATTATTCTTTATTTTGAGGAAAAAAATGTAATTTTTTTAGATGCCATGAGTATGTGAGGTATCTCAATGTTTTCGTGACAAAACTAACATGAGACTGCTCTAACCTGTCACAGAACAAGCCAAATGAAAGTCAAACATTTCAAATGGACCGTATGACAGCTGCTAACGTTGGCCCTGCCCTACTTTACCTCTACATTACAGTTCCTTTATTCGTGTCCATCCTAGAGCTCCTTTCAGAGCAGAGTTCATCCTTGGTAGTGGGTTCACTCACTCATTTAACCCTTCACCACTGAAATCAGTTTGTTCATTCCAATTCTAAATAATCCTCCAATCATCCAACTGGAATCCTTAGGGGTCCCATAACTTCCATCCTGTCAGAATAAGTCTTGGGAGCCCAGCTGTTACTAGAACTAATTGTGTCTCCTCACCAGCGTGAGCCTCCAAACAGTGAAGGTTGGTCTCCAAACATGAAGTTTAAATTCATGCATTTATCTCCTCTTGAACACTTTAAAAGGCTTGTATCGTGATATGTTACACCTCCCAGACCAAAAATAAGATAAAACATTATCATAAACACTATTGAGACATCATTTATGAAATAGATCTTATTTTCTCGAGCCATTACTTCAACCAAGAAATAAGATGCATGGATTTGACGAAGCCACACTGTCTCATGCAGTCCTATATGTGTAACACACACACACACACACACACACACGCACACACTGACTGCAGCGTTTTAGAATAATTTGAATTACTAATTTAACTAATTGAACTGCTTTTGTAATAATTTAATTTCTCTTATTCTGGAGTAAAATAAAGAAACAATCTAAATCATCACATATCTGTGGCATCAAGAAGCAACTTGTGAGTTCATACACAGGGATGGAGCACAATGTTTAAAACTGAAACAGTGTTAGGATGTATTTGTAATATATTTTATTGTCTCACCGGTATCACCATAACTTCACCAACACACATCCCTAGAGTACCACACCTTTAATGTATTTTATTCATTTGATTTATTTTTTATATATTCATTGTTTAAAAAAAAAAACTTTCATTTTAAAACATTTTCCTTCCCTTTTCATTTTAATTAGATTTCCTGTATATAGAACCAAAATAGAGTAGATTCAAAAGAGTGAGGGAGAAACTCAAACAGATTAATGCTGGAACTGAGACCGGAGTAGTGGAATCACAGCAGAGTCTTTCATAAAACAACACGTCTTTAACAACAAGGTTTCTGACCTGTGGTGCAAGTAAGCCCTGATGTAACTTGTTTCTGACCTTCTTATGAGCACTGAAGATCCTCCGGAAGGTGTCGGGGTTCTTCTCAGCTGGTTTGCTCAGAGGGGGCCTCCTGGGACCGCTGGCCACCACTTTGAAATCCTCCTCTGAAAATTCCAGGGCAGCTGTAGGAAAAAAAAACAGTTATTCTGAAACTTTCCAGTTGTCCAGGATAAATTAAAACTCTTCCCTAAAAGGATCAGTGCTGTGAAAGTATTACGGTTGTGTTATTAAGAGACCCCTCTGGTGTTGCTTCCTCCCCTCAAAAGCCTGTTTTAACCAGGTTTCTGTTTAACTGGACATGTGTGAAAGGACCCCAAGTTTATCACTGAATCTAAAAATGTTTTTGTGAAACCAAAAGAATAAAACCACAGTGTTTGTGTGGCTTTCAGTAGACCTGCTGATGACTGGGTTTGACCTGGCACTGGAACGGCTGCTCGTCTCTGCTGTACGTGGTGGAGCAGAATGTGGGCTTATGTCATGTTTATATGTAAACACAAAATAAATGACTTTGGTTCTTTGTTAGAACCAAAAACACCTCAATGTGTAAGTGGCACTGTTCAGCAGAACTAATGGATAACCCAATGTCCTTGATTTACAAAGATGTTGGTGGGGCTTTTTGCTCAGCGTTTTTTAGAAATCTGTTGTCTTATGGTCTCTGTCTTCCTTTATGTTGACACTTTTTAAGGTTGAATCAAACTGACCGTATTTTATCAACTTCAGAATGAATGATTCGTCACATTAAGAAGTGAGTGAAACCATCCTGAGTGGTTGGGGTTAGGGTTTATTTGCTCTGAATCCTCCAGCAGATGGACTGGCTTCCATTTTCACAGCCTGCTGTAGCTACTGCTAACAACAAGCTAACATTAACACAAGCCAATATAGAGGTCCTTCTCAAAAATTAGCATAGTGTGATCAAGTTCATTATTGTCTGTAATGTACTGATAAACATTAGACTGTCATATATATTAGATTCATTACACACAACTGAAGTAGTTCAAGCCTTTTATTGTTTCTAATATTGATGATTTTGGCATACAGCTCATGAAAACCCAAAATTTCTATCTAAAAAAATTTGCATATTTCATACGACCAATAAAAGAAAAGTGTTTTTATTACAAAAAAGTCAACCTTCAAATAATTATGTTCAGTTATGCACTCAATACTTGGTTGGGAATCCTTTTGCAGAAATGACTGCTTCAATGCGGCGTGGCATGGAGGCAATCAGCCTGTGGCACTGCTGAGGTGTTATGGAGGCCCAGGATGGTCAGTAAACCATTTACCAGTGGTTTTGACACTGTGAGCAGGTGCCAGGTTGTGCTGAAAAATTAAATCTTCATCTCCATAAAGCTTTTCAGCAGATGGAAGCATGAAGTGCTCCAAAATCTCCTGATAGCTAGCTGCATTGACCCTGCCCTTGATAAAACACAGTGGACCAACACCAGCAGCTGACATGGCACCCCAAACCATCACTGACTGTGGGGACTTGACACTGGACTTCAGGCATTCTGGCATTTCGGTCTGCCCAGTCTTCCTCCAGACTCTGGCACCTTGATTTTCAAATGGCATGCAAAATTTGCTTTCATTCAAAAAAATATATTTTGGACCACTGAGCAACAGTCCATGCTGCTTCTCTGTAGCCCAGGTCAAGCGCTTCTGCCGCTGTTTCTGTGTCAAAAGTGGCTTAACCTGGGGAATGCGGCACCTGTAGCCCATTTCCTGCACACGCCTGTACACGGTGGCTCTGTATGTTTCTACTCCAGACTCAGTCCACTGCTTCCGCAGGTCCCCCAAGGTCTGGAATCGGTCCTTCTCCACAATCTTCCTCAGGGTCCGGTCACCTCTTCTCGTTGTGCAGCGTTTTCTACCACACTTTTTCCTTCCACAGACTTCCCACTGAGGTGCCTTGATACAGCACTCTGGGAACAGCCTATTCATTCAGAAATTTCTTTCTGTGCCTTACCCTCTTGCTTGAGGGTGTCAATGATGGCCTTCTGGACAGCAGTCAGGCCGGCAGTCTTACCCATGATTGCGGTTTTGAGTAATGAACCAGGCTGGGAGTTTTTAAAACCCTCAGGAATAGGGTTGAACGATTTTAGGAAAAGATTTAAATGCAATTTTTCTATCAGAAATTGCAATTTAAGTTAAATTCACGATTTTCTGCAAACAAAGGTCCAACACTGTCAAGCCATCCTGTGGATTAAGTTAAAAGATGGTCTAGATTCTAATCTAGTACAACAAACCATTCACATTAATATTTACTATTTAAAGGGACTTTACGGAGTTTTTAATTTCTATGCTCGCGATTGCCCCCTCAGGGCAAAAGCGTAACGGCAGCTTCAATAGTAGGCTCGTGCACGAGGCGCGCATGCTGTACGTGCACACTCCTTAACGAAAATAACAGCTGAAACAGTCCCTTGTGTGTGTGTGTGTGTGTGTGGGGGGGGGGGGGGGGGGGGGGACGGGACAGGAGAACACGCAGCTAGTTAATTAAATAATTTGGTTCTGTACCGGTCTCTTCAGCACAGCCGACAAAGGTTTATGATGGGTCAGTCCTCCTGCACGCTCAGATCATTCCCTTCCCTTGCTTGAAAATTTTCCAAAATGAAAGTTGAACCCACATCTTTTTTAATTGTGAATTCAATGCCGTTCGGCGAGTCTCAAATTAAAATGTAGGCATCTTACTGTAAAAAAAAAAAAAACCATTAATGTAAAAAATAAACTCTAAAAAAAACTATGTTCACATCAAGAATTGAACCCGGGTCTCCCTGCATGAGTCCATCATCTTATTAGATGAGCTAAAGCGCCAGTGATGTCTTTCGTATCTGTAATATTTATGTCCTTGATAACAGCTGAAACAACGTTCAGAGAACGGTTCGAAGCGAAAATGGCTATTTTGTTGCTAATTTGCAGGAAATATGTAGAAGAAAGTAGCTAAGGGTCCTCAGAAACGTAGCTAGGTTCATCACTAGGCGTTAGAAACAGCGACAAAGTCACTGAGTTGGCACTGCATCTCTCTCTGCCGCTAAAGCTACTGATAGCAAATGCTACGGGCGATGCCTGAGCGTGAACGCGCATGAAGCAACCTGCTCGACCCGAGCATCTCTTTTTCTGTGATTTTACAGAAAAACTGGCAATCACAGTAAAATTGCAAGGGCTCATTCTACAGGACCAGGGCATTGCAGGAGAATGTAAGAAGAAGAAATTTATTATTTCTATACATGTTTTGGCTGTCAAACTTCCATAATGCCCCTTTAATCATACAATAGAAACAGTTAAAGCTATTAATATTTTCTCTCATTATTATTTAAAAAAAATATGTGCTTGTGAAGCAACTTGTGATTTTTATTTAGAGAGGTGCTTTATAAAAAACATGTTCTTGTTCTACTCTAAAAATGCAAGGAGGAAATCTGAAGGTAGAAACAGCTTTTCAAATGTATTAAATAACAAATAATGCTCACATTTTTCCCTGCATCACCAAGGCAGGCTGGCAAATTTTTTGAGATAGGAATTTTGGGTTTTCATGAGCTGTATGCCAAAATCATCAATATTAGAAACAATAAAAGGCTTGAACTACTTCAGTCGTGTGTAATGAATCTAATATCTATGAAAGTCTAATGTTTATCAGTACATTACAGAAAATAATTAACTTTATCACAATATGCTAATTTTTTAGAAGGACCTGTATACTGAAATGAGCCAGAGTTAAAAGATCCACACTGTTGGACTAAAAATATTACTACTTACAAGTCTAGAAGCAACAAAGCCAGGTCACCATCAGTTTGTGATGTCTTATCCTCCTTTAGCTAATTCAAACTAGTGTAGGATGCACCGATGTTTACTCTGATTTTAGCTCTTTGCTTCACTTCCAAAGATATGATTGCCTTATTTTTACTTCCAGGCCAACTAAAAAGCAGATTTCTACTCCTCCTCCTTGTGCTTTTTATTGAAATTCCGCAAACTGAAAAAGCTAACTGCTAGGCCCTGTCCACATGTAGCCGGGGATCTGCCAAAACGTAGATATTTTTCTACGTTTTGGCCTGTCATCCACACGAAAACGGATCTTTTTAAAAACTCCGGCCAAAGTGAAGATCTGCGTTTTCTCCGTTTTGGGTGTCTGCGTGTGGACAGACAAAACCGGAGTTTTAAGGTCCGCAACGTCACTTTCCGCGACAAAAAAATGCTGACATCACGTGTGCGACCTGTGTTTACACTAGCCGGCATCATGGATGCCCTCAGAACTGCGCTCGCTTCATCAATTGTCCAAGCGCTTTTTGCTTGTTTGTTTTTGCAAGTGGAATTACTGCTCCTTGCGGAAGACCACAGACGAAGGACGAGGTTAAGAACGGGGAAAGTACTGCCGCCTACAGGTCTGGCATGTCCTTAACAACGTATTTATCCGGGTACGTGTGGACAGAGTTTTTTTTAAATGAGGTGGTGTGGATGCAAGTTTTTGGAGGGGCGGATATTCATTTTTTTAAAAACTCGGCTACGTGTGGACTAGGCCCTAGTCTTTATAGGAATTACAGGCACATCTAACAGCTGTTAAGCAGGTAGAAAGCTCCATCTAGTGCACCAAGCCACCAACCCATCCCACAAAACTGTTAAGTGTGGTTTCTGGTCAGCAGAGGGCTAGAGAGTGCTATACAAGGTGAAGTTGGTAAAGTTCCTATCGCAAGAATCACTGAAACCAGTTTGACAGCAACAGCTTAAAATGTAAAAATCTACGTTTAGTGTCTCTTAACTCCAGTTTTATGTTTTTATAGCCTGTAACTGACTTATTGTGAAAATAATGCCACGACCCATCTTGTCTTAATGCGCGTGTGTGTGTGCGTGCGTGCGTGTGTGCATGCGCATGCAAACCTGCTCGTCTCTTGCTATTCTGCAGCTCTGAATTGATCTTGCTCTCATTGGCTGCAGGTAGTTTCTCCAGCCTCTCAAACGGATCTGGTATGTCTTCAGACGGCGTTTCCTGTGTAGTATCCACCACAGCTACCTTAGAGAAAGAAACCTTTTTGGCCTTCCACCTGTCTTTAAAGCTGTTGTCATCTTCAGCTCCATCGCTGTCGCTCATGTCGTCAAAACCAAAGTACTGGATTTTATAGGTGGATCTGCCATCAGTGCTGTCTGCGGTGATCTCCTCCTGGTGAAAATCAGTGTCTTCAAAGCCAAACAGGTCATCTTTACTGTCCTTCTTGGACTTGACCTGAGGCGGCCTGAACCTGCACAGAGAACCCACAAGGTATCAGCAAGCGTCTTCCTGGGTAGAGGCCAAAACAATTTCTACATTCATTTAAAGCATGTGACAGTAGAGTTCTGAATTGATACACACCAATACCATTACCAAGTACTTATATGGAGCATTAATAAATACCACTGACTAGGGATGCTCCAATCCGATCACACGATCTTCAGGAAATTGGAATTGTGTGGAAAAAATTGGATTTAACCATATAAAACAACTAACTGCTTCTTTAATTCATCCTCCTGAGAGATGTTCAAACAGGAAAAAATGGCTTAAGTTTTAAAATAAACCAGTTCCTCTATCAGTATTCTTTGTTTCACAGACAACGCCGCAAGTCCCACAATTTAAGGTAGTCCAAGAATTCACACACCATAACATGTAGCAGTTAACTAACACAGAGCATAACTGTCACCTCAAGAGAGAAAAAATGTTTGTAATTTGAATCTACTTGAAGTGAACAGCAACAGGAGTGTAATAAAAGTGTGTAATGTGTGCAAACTGGGCATTTAACAAGGTGCAAAAGGTAGTGCTGTGTTCCAACACTGAGGCGCCACCTTAAAAAAAACAACCCTGCTTAGTTCACTGCAGCAATTCTGGACAGCAAAATGCCAAGACAGCAGTATATTTATCACACTGGATGAGCGTCTGTGGGTGCAAACGTCGGGTTCTGCAGTCTCCTCGAGTCGCAGTATGATCTGCCTTCTCTTCCTACATTTACAGGTGCAGCAACTCTACAGGCGTTTTGTAGAAAAAAGTTACTATGCTGCTGACCGTCATGTGCCGTGCAAACCCCGTTGTTGAAAACAGCCGCGCACTGAGTAAACTATTTAAAATATGAGCGACAAGGCTACTTGTCTAACAGCAGAAATTGTTGAGTCCCAGAAGCAGCTCGCAGCAAAAATAGAACCTGATCCTATCTTTAGCGGCATGGCGCGCTGCAGGGGCGGCGTTAGGCCCGGCTACTTGGGCTGAAGCCCCGGATGTTTCATAGAAAGCCCCGGATCTAAATCGCGGAAGTAACATGCAGTACCAAAGTCCAACAGAGAGGGAGCAGCTGGCAGTAGTTTGTATACAGCCTGTCTGAGCCTCCACCACTGAAGAAGAAGCCCTTCAGCAGCCGGCTTCTTCTACACTCTCTGCCTGAAACGCACGAGTGAAGATGGACATAAGGACGTTTTTTAGACCAAAAGTACAACGACAGAACCCCAGCTTTGATGAGACTGGTGCTGACTCAGGTTTGTGAGTCTTATTTGAAAATGTTTGTTGTGCTGCTGGTTTGCCTAAAGTTAGCTTACTATCAGGTAAAGTTGCTGGAGAAAGAACGGGAATATTTACTATCATCTCACACTAAACACTAACAGGAACAATACTCTGCCCTTAATATGCTTAATATGTAGCTTCAGATTAAAAATTATGTGGTACAAGACATATATATATGATGTGTACTAGTGCGTGTCACGTGTGTGTGTGTGCGCGTGTATGCGCGTGTGTCTGTTAAACCCCGGATCTTCTTCAGTCCTAAATCCGCCCCGGCGCGCTGCTTCTGGGATGCGCCTGAAAATCGCAGTGTTGCAGATGACGTACGTATGTACGGGTATCTCTATCAGTGCACCATAATTCTCAAAATCTGTTTTCCACTGATTTTTCCAGATTGATGAAGAACAAATAAAAACAAAGACAAATTCCAAACACAGAAGGTGACTGCAGCTCGACATCCTTAAATTTACTTTAATTTGATAAAATAATCGGATCCTACATTTTTAGAAGCGTTTTAGAGTTGCTGTCCGTTTCTCCTGAGTAAACAGACTCTGACATAGGTGAAACCTCATCCCATCAGAAAGACTCAACCCCATCTTTACCTTGTATTCTGCCCCTCAGGTTTCTTCCGCTGCCATCCCATCTCTCCCAGCTGTGTGGCACTGCCGGAAGCAGCACCACTGCCACCACTAGCGGGCACTGCATCTGTACTAAATTCCTCTACTGCTCGGTCCTGAATGGTGACGTTGCACATGGATATGGACGAGGGGTGCAGCACAGTGTAATCCCTCATTCGGCCTCGACCGCTTGTAGTTTTGGCATCAATTATGGTTTTGGGTAGATCTGTGCCAAAAATGGTGCCGGCGAAGCCGCTGGAGTCCGAGGCTTTGCCAGAACCTTGTTTGTTAGGCCTCCTGTACGTCCGACAGTTAGAGTTTCTTTCATGTGATAACGAGGTAGACGTCTGGGAGAAATCAGGTGTCTCAAAGCTGTTTGACTCATCCATCAGGTCGTCATTCTCACTGGAGTGCTGCAGCCGTGGAGGAGAAGCAGGCCTCTTGTGCTGGGTCTGCGTCAGGTCAAAGCCGCCTGAAGCAAAGCCAGAAGAGTCCCAAGAGAGCGTAGGGGCTGGTTTACGAGGTTCCTGGATGGGTGACGGTGGGCGGAGACCCATAATGGCGTCCCAGGAGTCATAGGTGGATTCTGCCTTGGACCCAGTCTTCAGCGTGGTGGTCTGAGCCAGAGGCTTCCGGTCACTCTCAGAGGCATTCTGGTACCACAAATAGCTGTGCTGGTTCTCTGAAGATGATGAGCTCTGTCTGGACTTTCCTAAGAGTGAGAACAGAGTTAGAACTGAGATCTAAATATTCTCCTGATAAACTGTTAGTTGGATTACCATGTCCTAAAATCAGACCCTTTCATCTGTGAGTCTTCTGGGTAAAACTCTGTTCACACACACATTCCAGCCTGCTCTGATAACCAGTTTATCACGCATCTACAAATTCGTCATTCAAGATAAAACTATTTAGTCAACTGAAAAATTACAAGAGATCCACAATTACACACACACACACACACCTCTGTGATGATATAAAGTTAAAACACATGGAGAAGAACCAGCTAGCAGATCACCTGCCACTTGGCTGCATCAACAATCCTCTGATCACTCCATGATTACACCAATGGGGGGGGGGGGGGGGGGTTCTCAAGCCCAGATCACCGAGGATTTCCAGATCAGAGTACAAACCTTGTTCAGAAGCACCTTTGGAGTGAGCTAAAAACTCTATAAAAATAATCTGGTTTAATTAGAAACTACATGAAAACTAGGAGGTGTTAATCTTTTACACTGAACATCCGCCCCAAACTCTCTACAGACATGAAAAAACATGGGACAGCATACGGATCATGAGCACAGAACAACAGAAATACAAAACTCGGATCAAAAAAGTGATTGAAATAAGAAGACGTGGACCCAGGACCATAGACAGGGACGGAGTACATGCTAGACCACTCATGGGACATGGTGATTAACGGGGAAGGCACGGGCAGCAGAGGGTGACATCATAAAAAAGAGACGGAAGTGATGCCACCAGCATTGGCAAAGCTATGATGAAGGTGACAGCGAGATCTGAAACGTCAACAAAAAGGTAAAAACAAACTATTTCTCTGTGTCAACAGTGAAAAACCAGAAAAATGGAATCGGACAACATAGAACGAGCGTAACAAAAACATTCTTTGCTTGATAGTACGTCGTTGACTGAGTGACATAACTTTTTCATCATTTCCTAATCCGAGTTTAGACACAATAGCTGCTTGAACTGAACTGCAGGTTTGTGACGTAAAAAACTACAAAAGTTGTGTTTCTAAATTTTAAGGGAATTTTATCTAATCAAATCTGACTTTTCAATAAGACTGAAGGAAATAATGTCATCTTGTGTAAAGTGGGGAGAAAATGTTTACTTTAGCTCCACCGGCTACTCAGCAGAGCAGCAGGATATCAGATGGTTGCACCATTTCCAAATGCAACGTTCCACCCTGAAAGCAGGTCACACACTCGTGTGCTTTAGCTAACACATCAACCAAGTTTCACATCAAACTAACAGACACTTGTGGGGTGTTGTTTGTTTAGGAAAGCCCATCTTACTGGGTCAGCAGCACACGTTCCACTTACTGGACTAAACTAACAGTCAGAAAATCTACAGAGTCTGCTCCTTCACAAGGTGACGATTATTATCAGAACACCCCCACAGGACAAGATGTGCATCACTCCAAAACCCAAAGTGGCATTTTGGTTCAGCTCCTCCACACTGATTCATCTGTCAGCCCGACAGCTACAAGCCTTTATGCAAACGAGGCTCCAGGCAGACGTGTGGAGCATCTGAGCACGCTTACGTCCTCATGTCCTGATTGCACAGGTCCAGATAAGCTCAGAAGGTTTTTTTTTATAAACACGGTGTTATGTGGACACTTTTACTAAATGTGCTGGTGATTCATTTCCAGCCGGCTTGTCCTCTGCAGAAGATGAGCAATAACAGATGCGTGTAACAATCACTATGTCAGCCCATGCCAAAACATTTACTGCAAACCATTAGATGACGCAGTCAGTCACCTTCTTCAGCTTGGATGGAAAGAGAGTGTGGAGACATGAGATCTCTGATAGAGATGAGTGTGGGTGCTGCTTCTGAAACCAGATTAGGTGTGAAGTAAGAATGTGTCCCAGCTTGTGTGGGTGTCAAACTGAAGGATTGGCAAAACCAAACATCAAAATTCAGCATTGAGGTGCAATAAAACAACATTATGTCTTTACAGGAACAGACATTTGCCTGCTGCTGAATGTTAGTCAGTTTTATAGAGTGAAAGGGGTCCTTTAGCGAGTAGGTTTCACCCAGAAGCCTCTAAAGCCTCACATGAAGCGAGCTGCTGCAGCAAAGAAATAAATGAAGGACACTGACGAGCTCAGAGATCATCCTGACTTCTAACGCAGAGATGACATCTGTCAGTCGGTCAGAAGCAATGAGCTGGAGAAAAACAAATAAACCTGAACGTCAGGGGAATTCATTCAGGGCTTCAAGGGCCAAAGAGTTGCGTGTTTGGGTCAGAACCACCATGGCAGATGGCCACCACAAATCCAGAAGTTATCCAAAACAGGTGAACGTTAAAAAGTTATCATTTAAGAAGTACAACCAGCAAAGTCCAACAATGTATGATATACTAAAAGAATGTCAGTTTACACTTCAATTAAACCAGTGGCTGAAAACATGAGTCCACCTGCTGATCCAACAGTACAACCTCCCTCAGCAGCAACACCTGTAATCTGTGTGACCGCATTCGTGTCATGCATTTCTAGAGAGGTTCTGGACCAATAATGTTGCTTCAGTTTGATATTTGCAGAAAGCTGTTGACCCCTGACCTCAGGGTGAACCTGCTGGGACGTTCACTACTGGGACTATAGACCCTTTTACTGTTTGTAAACAATATGACGTCAGCGAGAATGCGCGTGCAGCTTAGCAACAGAGAATGACGTTGTTTCAGGCTTTATCAAGCTACGCTGCGGGGTTATCACCGGCAAATCTTGAATGTTATATTAAACTCACTTTAACGAATGGCAACAGACTCCCGGATCCCTGTGGCATTACGGAATGGGTGGAAGATGTAGGTGCGTGGCCAGATATCCAGTGGCCCGATATATATATATATATATATACGTTTTTAGTGGAGAGGCCCAGTAAGTACACACGTGAGAAGCTACGGGCATACAAATCGTTAGATGCATACAACTATGTTGTCTGTGGCCACGTGCAGAAAGTAAAATATCACGACAGACTCTGAGTTTTGCGTCTTGAAGGCAGAAGTCCTTCCTAGCCAAAGACAAGGACACAAGACTGCTATGTATGAGGCTTGGGTCATAGTAAACAAACCAGAGAACTACGTCTTCACAGCCAACTGTACCTGCATGGCAGGGTGAGTATAGCATAGGTTTCTTTTTTTAGCGTGCTCAGAGTACAGTCGTGTTAATTTTAGAGAAATACAGTTTATACTAAAAGCAAACCAGCAAACGCAACTAACTTTATTTAATAGAACACACATTAACCAGCTTTCTGGTGTAATCTTAGTACATAATTACCTTACCTGATATAAAATGGGCGCTACAAACTCGAGCATTTCGGATCGTGTTTTCAGTCCAGTTTTCATCAACCCTTTTGATGGCCTGCAGCCACAGACGCCTCCGATTTTGTTGAAATGGATGTGCTCCCTTCGGAATTCTGTAAAGTTTCAGTCCACTGCTTGAAGAGAAGCGATTCTGGCATCCATACACGCAACAACCCGACATTTTTATGTGCTCAGAACTTCAAAACAAAGGGTTTAAAACGCTGTTTTAGTATCGAGTGTGAATGAGGAAGCCTTCACTCTCGTTGCCAGGCTGCGCGCGCAACTTTTGATGACGTAGGTAATAAAAGGGTCTATTGTCAGTTGCCCTAAATACTTTTCACTGTGAATAATTATTCTCTCTGTAGAAAGGCAATACATAGTTTGGAAAATGCATTGAGATGAAGATGATGATTGGTTTATCAAAACACCTGAACAACATTGCAGGCTGCCATTTCCCCTAACAACTCTTGTGGAAACAGCAAGAATGTACTTCTGCAGATTCTCTTATAATTTTTCATCTTCCTTGTATCCAAGTGTGTGTGTGCTGCTGTAGCAGGTTCATTTCCTCACTGTGGGATCAATTAAGTATATTCTATTCTTAAACAAATAGCAGCATGAAGTAACATTTGAGATGTTGTCATCTACATTTAGGACCTAGATATGACCAGATGATTATTATGTCTCAATACATAAAACCTTAAATGAAAGAGGCTGAAATTGGCAGTAATTTCTGAGTCACTACGGCCGGTCTTATGGGCTCGACACACGGGAGGCGACATCACCTCTCCTCCATTCATTTTCAATGAGACATGCGCGACAAAGCGATAATCCCGGGTCTCCCTCCTACCAAGCGAAACGCGAAAAACGTGCGTGTGAAAGTTTGCACTCGTGCACGTGTCGTGCACGGACGACCCAGCGACGCGATCCCAGAAAGTTGAAACATTTTCAACTTTTCATCGCTGTCGCTCGGACGACGACCAATCAACGGAGGTTTCATTCACTGACCAATGAGCGGACAGGATGCTCCGCACATCTCCGAGCAAATATGGAGGAGAAGTTGATTATTATTATGTTTTATAGTAAAATCAGAAGTAAGATTTCACACAACTCTAGCAGCACCTTGTGAAACATCATATCTACCGCTGTATTAACTCTGAACCGCTTAAATAACCTTAATTCCCTCCAACCTGACACAGCCAAACAAAACAACGGAAGTTTCGATTTCGCCATGGAACAGAACGCGTAGGCGGCTTTGCCGCTGGCCGCTGCCTCAGATCGCCTCCCGTGTGACAGGTCATAAAAGCGACAGCGACAAATTTCGCTGATCGCGGTCGTTTGTCGCCTCCCGTGTGTCGAGCCCATTATTGAGCAGATAGTGACAGAAGCTTCTCCTCTGTAGGTAGAAACTTCTATGAGCTGAAGGGCCTATTATGACATGGTTTGCTGCTGGGACTCAGCTGAAGTGGATCTGTACTCTGGCAGGTGGCCAGCAGCAGTCACACAACCCTGAAAGCAAGCGAAGCTACAAGATAGAGAGCAAACCACCGTGAGAGGACAGCAAATAAATATAGTTTCTCATGACTGCAGTCCAGAACAACATGCCTGTTCAGAGCTACACATCGCAACGCAACATAACTTGTACAAAGTGTTAGAAAGCAGCGATCAGAAGGAATATGTATTTTGGATTTTAACAGAGAAGATGAGATTCACCAGAATAATCTAGTGTGTGACAGCTGTATTTTGTTTTACCTATACTTGCAGAGCTGTTGTTGAAGAACTGAGCTGTGTCCAGCATCTCCCTGGGTTCACTGCTCTCACCGGCCCGCCAAGACATCGCTGGAGTGGACGTCACAGAGCAGGATCCTCCTTGAAAACTAGATCTGCTCCCAGCATCCAATGACATAACCGGCCTCTCCGCCAGCGGAGGCTCTGCCGAAGCAGGCTTGGACGGAGATGACTTGCTGCCGACTCGGGATGTCACTGGTTTAGACTCTTCATCGCTGTCAAACCCAAACGGGTCATCCAGACCAACCCCAGCTTGGCGGGGCTTCTTGTAAACTTGTAGGACCGAGTCGTTCTTGGGAGCGCCGGCTCGCTTAGAGACCACCTTTGCCTTGTAGGTGGTGTCTCCCCATTTAGTACTGAGGGTGCCTCTCTTGGTGGACAGAACTTCATCAAACTTAGACGTGCCCTCTCCTCCCTTACGGCTGTAGGTTTTACCAAATCTGGATGTCATTGTTGCATCTGGTTCATGTTCTCTAGAAGAAGCAAAAGTAAAATAATAATAAACTAATCGTGAATGACACCAACCAAGCTCCCAGATTTATTGAAACTCCCCCAGAATTCCTGATTGGTTGGTCCAAAATGAATGGCCTTAACGTGTTTTACTCAAAATCAAGCCATGTTTTAGTTTAAAACAGCAATTTAAAATATTTTCCGAATACATTACAGTGAGAAATCAATAACACAATCAGTCTAATTCTTAAAACTCTGCTGATTTTATACAACAAAGCTATAATTTGCTGGTGTTTTAACAGTGTGACATTGATGCTCATTTGACAGAAGGTATCCAAAATCACAACTAACTATCCTAATGGACGCAGGACTAACCAACGAACATGTCCATCTTAATATACGTTACTTATCCTCACATATTGTAACCATTAGCTTGAGTTTAGCATTTAGCGTTAGCATAAAGACAACACAAGAGACCATTAGCTTCATGCTAACGGCTAACAATAACTACAAACGGACAATCAAAACAGCCACACGCAGAACAGTTCATCATGTTAAACCGACCTTAAACACCATCAGTATTCCCACTTACTTGGTGAGCTAAAGAGCCGATTAGCACTAAAGACACTTAGCCAAGCCCAAACGGCCGTTAGATTGGCACAGCACCGCCAGGCCTCCTTCCCTAATCCGGCCTGTAGAGTATAAACAAGGCCAAACAGACTCCGTCAGCAGCAAATCAGGACGTAAAAACGAAACGGGAGAGACAGCGGGTCCAGGTCGAAGAGAACAGATTGACTTTATAAGCACATCTGAAGATATCGACACCGTTTTTCAACCTAAATCGCAGTCGATTGTCTCCTCCGGGTTGTAACGAAGGCTTCCATTGGATTCTACGAATGTGTCAAGCTAGCCAGAAACGGTAAACCACAAACGGAAGTCAATGAAGTGCCCCAGGAAATAAAAACATAAATCATCACTGGAAACAGGTTTTAGGTAATATTAGACAGCGATTACGCATATACTTATAAAAGTGTTTTCATAAATATGTAGATAAAGCATGTTAGTAATTAAAGAACTGTTAAATATCGGTTTCACGTTTCAGTATGACTTAATCATCTAAACCGTTTCTTCATTCTAACTTTATTTTCAAAACTTTATCGGAAGTGCTTACATAGCAAACCAAATGTTACAATAGCCCAAAACACTTAACCAATGTTGAGTTTAAGTACCCCGAAGAAACTCGGATAAAACACTGTGTGTGTGTACGTGCAGAATTACGTTAAAATAAAAAAATTAAGATTAAGGTTAAGCTTTTGAAAAATAAAAAATAAAATAAATATATGTATATGAAAAAAAGACGAAGGGAAGATTGGCAGCTGTTGCGTGTGTTTTGACCGAACTGATTTTCATTTGCATCATGAAGTGAATTTGACATTTAATAATCTTCATTTTGATGAGTTTGTGTTCTAAATGTTAAACTAAACCAAATTTTAAATGAAGGTAAACAGAAGCTACAAATAGATTGAACTTTAGCAAAAGACTCCCAGATTCCATTAAAAATAACGTTTCATTATTTTTCAATAATTCCAACCTTTCTCCATTTTATTATACTTTATTTGGTACCAAAATTGCTCCGCACAAAAAACTTAAAGAGACACTTAAAACACATCATATCTCAATGACAGGATCCACGTTATTGTGAAAAGGGTGATGTGCTAGGAACAACAGGATGCCACACATCTTTCTTATGAGATAAAACGTGGTGCCTGGGTATCTCAAGACCCTGGCCATGGCATCTCTGAACTCTGACAGTCTGAGGTGCAACCTGGTAATGTCATATTAACCTAAACAGTCCTGGAGGTGACAGTCAATGGTCTCAATTCCTTCATCATTCTTTGGGAACTGCCGGCATACTCTTGCAACATAAAGAAATGCATTTCATACACCAGGCAGAATCCAGGACCCCATGTACTAGTGAAGGGTGCAAAATGGATCTAAGGATTCCCTCATGATAATTCTGATTCAGATCATTTATTGTCATTCAACAAAACATCAAGATTCAATGAAGAAGAAAAATTAGAAGGCATTTGATCACGACAGAGAACAGATACACATCATAAAGGATTTTAAAAGAATAAGAAGTAAAAAGAATAAAAGAAAACCATGTCAAAGAAGGAGGCACTATATGTATGAAAAATATATGTACAGAATATGTGCAAGGTGTGTACAAACACAGATAGATGAAAAATAAATATCAATTAGATTGTTAAAAAAAATAGAGTTTTTTAAGTGTTCAGAAGTTGATTGCTGTCATTAAGCCTTGTCATTATGCATTTGTAACGTCCAGCAATGGTCAGTTTTTAGGTACTGTTTGACCATTCAACATCTGGTCAAAAAGCAGACACGAGACTGCATGTGTTCCCTTTAAAGCAGCCTGCCTTCATCCCACCAGCTGAAGCTCAGAGCCTGCAGCTCTGAAACAGACAACGATGTGTCATAACAATAACAATGTTCCTTCCAAGATCCCTCACAGAGCACCCTTTTTATCTAAGACTCCTTGCTTCACAGAAGAAAGAAGATTTTTTTAATTAAATATGAACTTCTAAAATTTATAAGCTAGATAATCATTAAATAAACGTTTGTTTATTGCTACTTATAATAATTATAAAATTATGAAATGTTTAATTAATCTGTGCTCAATGATATATGTTTCAGCATGTTTACTTGACAAGGTCATAACCATTTGCACTCACACAAGATCAAAATAAGGTAAAGTTAAGCATGACACATAAGTAACCTTTACCCCATATCAGAGCCTCTGGCATCAAAGAAGGCGTGTGTTTCTGATATTCTTGGTAATATCCTCAAACTTGTCAACCTCTGGTTGGCTACACAATCATAACATGAGAACATTAAAACCAGATTACTCAGTTTTTCCCTCAATTCTAGAGAAGCTTCAGGCTGGCCACCTGAAGCAAACACCTCTTTAACCACCCAAGCATTTGACACGTAGTCAAAACCTTTTTGCACCTGCAAAGCTGATGCAACAAACAGTTCCCGCAGAACACGCTGATTTGTTCAACTCCTTAAGAGTTATTCCTGAGATGCAAACTAGTTCCAACTGTTGTTACCTGGAGATGGCTCTGGACTGACCTGGTCCTACTGCAAGTTAATCTACGGACTTCGGTACCTGGGGTCTCCGACCCCCCCCCCCCCCCCCCCCCCCCGACATCTCTGATCCGAAAAGGGTGTCTCCACTTGGGTACATAGAACACAGTGAGATTGCATCTGGATGTGGTTTTTGATAATAATCAACTTCATAGCTTAACGCAAACCAAATTCTTTTACATCCAGAATTCAGCTTTCCTAGATACGGAAGTATCACATCTTGTTCCATCCATCACAATAAATGCTTAGTTAAACTGTCATGTTTTAATTGTTGGTAAAATAAATTCTTACTTTTATAAACCTGACTGTTTTCTGAATCAAAACGAAGTGTGTACAATCCCCTAATAAATAAAGAATCCTAGACTCTTCTGATTAAAGCACATTAAAGACCAGGCAGGGTGATATTCTATTTTTAGACAGAGTATCACAGCTTATTGGTCATAAGTAGAGGTAATATATATATTGAGCTCTTTAAGCACTCACTTTGCCAAACCCTACATATTGCAGACGTTATGTTCCACCTGAGGGTAGGAGAGAGGACAGTCCATGACAGGGGTGGGTGGGCTCCTTGCAAATTTTTGTTGCCCTCAACAATGGCAGTCACAGTGCCAGGATCCATAGAGCTAATCACCAATATGCAGCGTTAATGACTGGAGCTGACAAAAACTGAACCAACTAAATTCAGTTCATTTCAGTTTATTTATATATGTCACGCGAGGGTACACAGGAATAAACCCAAATGCAGGAGACAGAATGACCAGATCCGATACTGATTACTTTTAATAACAAAAAGTCACCACATAAGTGGGAAAAGGACTTCACGGGTAATAAAAAACAAAACTACCACAGACTCGAAACAAAGCTATGCTCTAAACACCAGAAACTCTTCACAACAACGCCACACCATGCACAGGAAGCAGCTGCTTAAATACATGGTGTGGCAATCAAGAAATTGCAGTCAGCTGCGGCATTCCCCGATGCTCCAAAGAGGGGCAGGAACAGCAGGAAGAGCCACAACCAACCTACACAGAGAAAGAAAAACACGCATTACAACAATCAGGAGGAGTAACCCATAACATAACCCCCCTCACAAGGTCCGGCTTCCAGACGGACGACGAGGCTGATCAGGGTTGTCCCGGTGAAAACGGGTGATCAGGTCACGGCACAGGACGTGGCGTTCGGGGACCCACTGGCGGTCCGCCGGGCCGTAACCCTCCCAATCCACCAGGTACTGGATGCCCCGACCCACCCTCCGAGAGGCCAGGAGCTTGTTCACCTTGAAGACCGGGCTACCTTCCACAAGGCGAGGAGCAGGCGGAGCCGCAGGGGGCGGATGCAAGGGGCTAGTCACAAAGGGCTTAAGCTTGCTCACGTGGAAAACAGGGTGGATCCGCAGGGAGCGAGGAAGGTCCAACCTGACCGCCACCGGGTTGATGACCCTGGACACTGAATAGGGGCCGATGTACCGAGGAAGGAGCTTTCTCAAACCCCCTTTCAATGGCACATCTGTCGAGGCAAGCCAAACCTTGTCTCCCACCTTGTAGTCGGGTGCGGCTGATCTCCGACGGTTCGCCACTGCGGTGAACCGTTCCTGATTCTGGACCAGACGAAAGTAGTAATCCACCCAAGTGCGCCGACAGCGTCGTACAAACGCGGCGGGGCCGGAGGCCGATGCAGACCTCTCCTGATGGGGGAAAAGTGGGGGCTGATAACCATAGGCAGCCTGAAAAGGGGAGAAACCGGTAGAGTTCACAAGAGAATTATGGGAATATTCTGCCCAAGGGAGCTGTGAGGACCAGGTCGGGGGGTTCTTAGAGCACATAGCTCGTAGGGTGGTCTCCAAGTCCTGATTAAACCGCTCCACTTGCCCGTTGGTCTTAGGATGGAAACCAGAACTTAAACTGACCGTTATTCCGAGGAGCTTGCAGAATTCCCTCCAGAATGCTGCCACGAACTGTGGACCCCGATCAGAGGTAATGTTCTCAGGAAGCCCGTGCAGTCGAAACACATGTCGTGCCACCATCTCGGCCAGTTGTTTTGCCGAAGGCAGTTTCTGTAGGGGCACAGCATGAACCAACTTCGAAAACCTGTCCACGATAGTCAGAATGACAGTGTTACCTCTTGAACGGGGCAGACCCGTGATGAAGTCCATGGCTATGTGGGACCATGGTCTTGAGGGGATAGGTAAAGGCTGTAGGAGACCTGCAGCAGGGGTTCTGGGCACTTTAGCACTGGCACACACAGGGCACGAGGAGACGAAAGCTCGTATGTCAGAGGACATGGTGGGCCACCAGAAACGCTGAGCCACCAGGAAGGCGGTCCTTGTCATCCCGGGATGGCAAGCCAGGCGTGACGAGTGCCCCCACTTCAGCACCGCGGGGCGTAGACTCGAAGGTACAAACAAGCAGTTAGGGGGGCATCCATCAGGGATTGGGACCGTGTCTGAAACTGCAGACTAGACCCTACGTTCCAAGGCCCAGCGGTTAGCCCCAAGTACCAGGACAGGAGGAACGATGGTGGTGGTACCCGGGACCTCTGTCAACCTGCAGTCCTGCTGATATTGTCGGGACAAGGCGTCAGGTTTGATGTTTTTGCTGCCAGGGCGATAAGAGAGGGTGAAGTTGAAACGGTCAAAAAACAGAGCCCACCGGGCTTGGCGTGGATTAAGTCGCTTAGCCGTGCGAATGTACTCTAGGTTCTTGTGGTCTGTCCACACCAGAAAAGGCTGTCTTGCACCCTCCAGCCAGTGGCGCCATTCATCAAGGGCTAGCTTAACAGCTAGCAATTCTCTGTTCCCTATGTCGTAGTTTCTCTCTGCAGGATTGAGCTTGCAGGAGAAATACGCGCAGGGATGAACTTTGTTATCAGACGCTCTCTGTGACAACACGGCCCCCACCCCAGACTCAGACGCATCGACCTCCACAA